ACTGTCTGTATGTTGTTCAAGAGCTTTGTGTTGTTAAAGAACTGTCTGTGTGTTGTTCAAGAGCTATGTGTTGTTAAAGAACTGTCTGTGTGTTGTTCAAGAGCTATGTGTTGTTAAAGAACTGTCTGTGTGTTGTTCAAGAGCTATGTGTTGTTAAAGAACTGTCTGTGTGTTGTTCAAGAGCTATGTGTTGTTAAAGAGCTGTCTGTGTGTTGTTCAAGAGCTATGTGTTGTTAAAGAACTGTCTGTGTGTTGTTCAAGAGCTTTGTGTTGTTAAAGAGCTGTCTGTGTGTTGTTCAAGAGCTATGTGTTGTTAAAGAACTGTCTGTGTGTTGTTAAAGAGCTGTCTATGTGTTGTTCAAGAGCTATGTGTTGTTAAAGAACTGTCTGTGTGTTGTTCAAGAGCTATGTGTTGTTAAAGAACTGTCTGTGTGTTGTTCAAGAGCTATGTGTTGTTAAAGAACTGTCTGTGTGTTGTTCAAGAGCTATGTGTTGTTAAAGAGCTATGTGTTGTTCAAGAGCTATGTGTTGTTAAAGAACTGTCTGTGTGTTGTTCAAGAGCTATGTGTTGTTAAAGAGCTGTCTGTGTGTTGTTCAAGAGGGGGCTCCTGGGCGACGAAACTATATCGAGTCTACAAATGGAGCAAAATTACATCGGCCACCGTCCGGCAGAAGCAAAAAATTTGCCTCTGTTTCGAACAGTGCCGCTGCCTAACGTCCATTTTGACCGGAAGTCTGTAAAGATGGCGGCATAGTGAATTGGGCTATCTTCAATGGCTACGCTGTCTGTCGTCTGCTGCTTTGGCTGGTCCGGGTCGTCTCGAACAGGTATGTCAAAACTGGCGACTAACTCGTCTGTTAGGCGTGCCCTATTTCGTGTTTTTTTTTTTTTTCTGGTCTCGCACATCTGTATATGGGCTGCATTAATCTCTACCCAAAGTCTGCGACATTTCATGCGTATGGGGGCGTATACTTCTTTGGGTAGTAGCTCCTCTCTTGCGAACTCAGAAATTGTTCCACGTCCTTTCAAGGATGCAATTTTTTTTATTTGAAGCCCCATCCTGGCTTTTGCCAGGGGCCGCAATATAGGCAGGCCATAAATATGGCCAATTGTCTGAACGCGGTTTCTGGGACCTCTCCACTGTGATCCTCATCCACATGATGGCACTTTGTGTCATCGGGTGTTTATCGCTTGTGTGATATCCTAGTGGGGTAGAAAGTCAGTCAGTCAGTCTCTTGCGAACTCCCCCTGGTCGAAAAGGATCACATAGCGGCCCTTTTGCATTCCATTCCAGTGCGGGTGCATCTGTCGTTAGATCTTTCAAGCATCGCTTGAATGTCGGTCTCGCTGATCTCACTATATGCTTCCGCTTTTTTGCCTTCCTCACTGATTGTGGCCTCATCCGCATCTGGCATCGCTTCTGTTTCAGTGCTTTGATCCGCGGTTCGTGCTGATTCCGTAGACTTCACCTTGTGACTCACGGCTTTCACTTCTGTGGCTGTGCATTTGTCGACCCTACTGGTGTTTGGTTTCTTGCTTCTTTCTATTTGCAGAGATTCCCTCTCTTTCTTGGCTGCTAGTGTTGCAGCTTCTGCTTTCATTTGGACCAGCAGGGTGACCTCTTTGTATGCGGACTCTTTGACTTTTTTTTTAGTTTGGTCGTTTCTCTCTTCTTGTTCTGCCTGCCGGTAAGCTGCTTCCTGGTCCTGGGCTGACTTGAGCTGTGTCAAAAGGCCTGAAGTTTTAGGCTTGCTTCATTGACTTCTGCTAGCAACCCGGTTTTCTGCACAGCTTTTGCTAGCCTGTCCCTCTTCTGGGCATTGATTTCATCAAGCGTTTCGGAGATCAGTCCCAGCATCTCGAGTCTGTTAGTGGTGGCCTCTTCTCTGTCTGCTGTCTGCTTCTGGATTTTATTTCTGAGCTCTGCTACTTCCTGAGTTATTAAAGTGTTATTTGCGACCGAGACGGCCTTTTCAGTTTTTCTCTCTCGTCTTAATAGTTCAGCCAGTTGTTTGCACTTTTTTAAGGTAGGGGCAGGCCAGGTATCTCACGCTGTGTGCTCCTGAACAGTTGGAGCACTTTCTCTTTGTGTTCGTTCTCCTCAAGTCCTGGTCATCTTTTGCCAAGGGGCACTCTTTGAAATCGTGGGTCCCCGAGCAGTATCGGCATATACGGCTGCTTCGTCAGGTGGAAGCTGTGTGCCACGCCCTATTGCATCGTGTGCACTGCTGTATACCTGGTGCGTTGGATACCTGGTGCGTTGGATACCTGTTGCTGTTGCTTCTTGTGCGTGCTTGTGGGTGTCGGTGGCCTCGTGTCTAGATGGACCTCCGGAGCGTCGGCGGCACTGGGTACTGATGGCTGGCCTCCTTTTAGGCTCTTGGCTATCGAAACGTTGGTAGGTTCTGATGCTGTCTCTGTTAGTGATCACCGCCTGGTTCCGGTTGTCTGTAGCAAGGCTTCTGCTACGGTAGGCTCCGGTATCTTCTTCAGCTTTCACTTTTTTACAATTTGTTATTTACCCATCTTGTAGAGATATCTAGCAAGGTGGTATCTATCAGGCCACTAGCGATAACTTGGTTGCTGAAGAGTCGCAAGCCTTGTTGAGAATCCTGAGAAGGACTCCAAGGGTGCTTTCCCAACCGTGTGCAAGGCTAACACTTTGGTAATGGTGTAGAAACGGGCTGTCAAGTATCTAGTTACCGAGAATCGGGCGATGAATGGAGCATTAGCGATCGGGCGACAAGAGCTGTTGTAGAGTGGGCTGACAAGCAATTTCGATGTAGGAGTGGTAACAGCATAAGGCCTTTATATATGCTGGAGTGCTCCAGTCATTTGGGCATGTTCATCCCAAATTGTAGAGCAATATTTTATAGGGATCTGATTTTGTGAAGTACAGAATAATTTCCTATTTTCATCCGGAAAGTTTTCAATTTTTGCTAGTTGGTATACTTTTATACCTGTTTGTTTACTGAGTGTTTCTACAAAGGAGTTGAAGGTCAGATTTCCATCAATGATCAGGCCTAAAGCTTTGTGCTCAGTTACACTTTTCAATGGGATGTTAGTGATGTAGAATATGAATTTAAAATGTACAGTTTTTGTCTTGTTGCTACTAATATGGATTTTGTTTTACTTAGGTTGATTCGCATGTTTGCACAGCTCCAACTAACTACACTATTTAATTCTTATTGCAAAGACAACTCTAGTACTTTACGAGTTTGAGCATTTGTATCGATGGTACAGTCATCTGCGAATAAATCACACAACAGCAACAGACACAGGAAAAGATCATTTATGTAAATGGCATATAACACAGGGAGCCATGAATAGAGCCATTTGGAACTTCAATATTTAAAGCAGACAGACAGACAGATGGATAGACAGACAGAAGGACAAATAGATAGATGGACGAATAAACAGACAGACAGATAAAGTAGAAGGACAAATAGATAGATGGATGAATACACAGACAGACAGACAGACAGATAAAGTAGAGGACACAAGTAAAAGCTGCTGCCTGGCGACACAGTTCCACCTGGCCAGCACCTAGCGACACAGTTCCACCTGGCCAGCACCTAGCGACACAGTTCCACCTGGCCAGCACCTAGCGACACAGTTCCACCTGGCCAGCACCTAGCGACACAGTTCCACCTGGCCAGCACCTAGCGACACAGTTCCACCTGGCCAGCACCTAGCGACACAGTTCCACCTGGCCAGCACCTAGCGACACAGTTCCACCTGGCCAGCACCTAGCGACACAGTTCCACCTGGCCAGCACCTAGCGACACAGTTCCACCTGGCCAGCACCTAGCGACACAGTTCCACCTGGCCAGCACCTAGCGACACAGTTCCACCTGGCCAGCACCTAGCGACACAGTTCCACCTGGCCAGCACCTAGCGACACAGTTCCACCTGGCCAGCACCTAGCGACACAGTTCCACCTGGCCAGCACCTAGCGACACAGTTCCACCTGGCCAGCACCTAGCGACACAGTTCCACCTGGCCAGCACCTAGCGACACAGTTCCACCTGGCCAGCACCTAGCGACACAGTTCCACCTGGCCAGCACCTAGCGACACAGTTCCACCCTGGCCAGCACCTAGCGACACAGTTCCACCTGGCCAGCACCTAGCGACACAGTTCCACCTGGCCAGCACCTAGCGACACAGTTCCACCTGGCCAGCACCTAGCGCGACACAGTTCCACCTGGCCAGCACCTAGCGACACAGTTCCACCTGGCCAGCACCTAGCGACACAGTTCCACCTGGCCAGCACCTAGCGACACAGTTCCACCTGGCCAGCACCTAGCGACACAGTTCCACCTGGCCAGCACCTAGCGACACAGTTCCACCTGGCCAGCACCTAGCGACACAGTTCCACCTGGCCAGCACCTAGCGACACAGTTCCACCTGGCCAGCACCTAGCGACACAGTTCCACCTGGCCAGCACCTAGCGACACAGTTCCACCTGGCCAGCACCTAGCGACACAGTTCCACCTGGCCAGCACCTAGCGACACAGTTCCACCTGGCCAGCACCTAGCGACACAGTTCCACCTGGCCAGCACCTAGCGACACAGTTCCACCTGGCCAGCACCTAGCGACACAGTTCCACCTGGCCAGCACCTAGCGACACAGTTCCACCTGGCCAGCACCTAGCGACACAGTTCCACCTGGCCAGCACCTAGCGACACAGTTCCACCTGGCCAGCACCTAGCGACGCAGTTCCACCTGGCCAGCACCTAGCGACACAGTTCCACCTGGCCAGCACCTAGCGATGCAGTTCCACCTGGCCAGCACCTAGCGATGCAGTTCCACCTGGCCAGCACCTAGCGACACAGTTCCACCTGGCCAGCACCTAGCGATGCAGTTCCACCTGGCCAGCACCTAGCGACGCAGTTCCACCTGGCCAGCACCTAGCGATGCAGTTCCACCTGGCCAGCACCTAGCGATGCAGTTCCACCTGGCCAGCACCTAGCGACGCAGTTCCACCTGGCCAGCACCTAGCGATGCAGTTCCACCTGGCCAGCACTGTCATATGCTGCTCTTGTGTCCTCTCTAGTGCCAGGTGCACTGAGAGGCCGATTCTTATAACATTTGATCTTCTGTGCTGGTGCGCCTAATGCGATGCTGAGATTTGCTCGCTGCTTTGACTTTACCAACATCTGTAGAAAAAAAACACCCAAGTTAATATACACATATGAATGTGAGGCCAAAATATTTAATGGTAAATAGTGACTTGAACAATACCTGCTCTGTGCTTGAAGACCCAAGCAGAACGAAGTCTCTGTGTGAAGCTTTTACAGCAGTTGGAAATGTATCCAGATTTTGTAGTGAGTATGTGCCAAAACTTACACTTCATTATATGCCATGTTGGAAACATGCTATGACATGCAATTACCAGTTCCAGGCTCACGTCTGCCCCAACTATACCATTTGGCTAATTCCTGTCAGCATGCCATTAAGATTTTCAGTTGTCACTCCTTCTTCAGCTTTCAGAATCTTTGAGGTTCATTATTGCAGAAATCGCCCCATTCCACTTTTCTCTCTGATTACCTTTCTCTTTCCACTTGGTGACTCCAAGTGTCTTTAGGTGTGCTTGGATGTAACCTATCCATATCAACGACAACCTGGAGGTTGTCACCAAGTTTTCAAATTTATGCTGAAACAAGTCAAAGAAACTTCTTTGTCTCCATCTTGTTTCTCTAATTAATTACCTGTCTTCATCTGCTTCTGGATTAAATGCCTCAGCTGTTCTTTCAATGAGTCCATGCTACTGATTTATGCCAGGTATGTACCAGCTTGTCTGCCTATTGTTCAAATTTGACAGACTCCGTCTCTCTTATTAAAAATCCCAAGAAACATGTAATACATCTATCACTATCATCCTTAACAATCAGTAAACTGCAAACTGAGGCTCTTGCTTACGGGTTGAAGTTTTGCATACAACCACACACAATCATCCTGACAGTCGCAAGCTCAATTTGAAATGTTTTTTGACCAGCTTTTGACACTGATACCATCTTCTACCTATTGGGCCAGATGTCTGAAAGCTAAATTAGTGAATTCAGAACAGCAATATCAAACAGCCAATCAAAACAGACATGATCTTTCACTAAAGAGCACATAACTGACATGAAAACACTAAAAGCTAACGAACAATTGGTCAAACTAAAACCAGACAAAGGCAGTGGCGTAGTTGTGATGGACAAGTCAAACTAGCAGACCAAAACTGAAATTAAACAAACCTGATCTGATCAGTCTAAATTTCTGCTTGATTCTAAAGTTAACAAAAATAATGACACGGAAGCAACAATAACGACATGGAAGCAAAAAATAACAACAGAAATTAAATCACTTTTGGATGGAAAATTGATCAACGAGGCTACTGCTAAGAGGCTCACAAATACCTCAGCTCTTTGGTCTCCTAAAGTTACATAAACCCAGAGTGCCACTAAGGCCCATTCTGTCCATGGTCAGTGGCGCTTAATAAATCCAACTGGATATCCATTTGATAATAAGGTCAATTTGCCTGTAATTTTGTAGCTTTGTTCCTAGATAATAAGTGGAATAGCACTAGAACTAATTGACACTGAAGAAAATTTATGTTTATTCTATTTGTGGCAGCTGACTTTGCTATCGTTGTACCCTTCGCGTGAGGTACACATTAGACATATCCCTCATCAAAGTTTGACTCTATAAAAGAACTGAAACACGTCTAATTCGCAACGTTGTCTATCTAACGTCGGATAAATCTATTAAAAAAAAACACGTACTTTGATTTCAATTTAAGGCTTTTAAAGCCGTAAATCATGTTGGTATGCATGTAGAATAGTGCTTGGCGGCCATATTCTTTTCAAACAAACACTTAGTAACTCGGCGAATCTTGTAAATATACTATATTTTCGACTTTCAACCCACGTTTCTAAATGAGTATGCCTGATATTAGACACAAAGAACTAGAAAGAAAGAAAGTTGAAATTGAGCGGTCCGCATCTCACAAATGGTAGATTAAAAACATTCACTTGTCACGTGTCGATTGGGCCGGGCAGTTGAAACAAATTAGCATGTGATGTGTTCCCTGGGACTCAAAGAGTTAACCCTTTTATCTTCCTGCAGCTGGCAACTTTTTTAGTTGCTCAGAATAAGGAGTGTTTACACATAAACATAGTTTAAATTTTATATTACATTTTTCTCCAGCGTTTTGATGGAGCAAAGGCCAGAATATAATTATTATTTACCCATACAATACTCTACTCTTTCTGCTGATCTAAATCAGTACCCTGGTTCACTATTTCTGTCCTCCCTCCACATCCTGATCTGATCACTACTCTGGTCCACACTGTTTGCCCTCCTGTTTCACTCCTCAGTTCGCAGCAAGTTTAAGAATCTCAGGAGACACAAACCTGCAAGGTTTCCCTGGCAGACTTGACTCGCTGAACTCTCTTGTAATCTGAGTTGGCTTTCTCATCGAAAAGTTCTCCACATTTCTGGACAAACAAACGTCTGAGGAAAAATGAGCAAGCACACAATTATCATCCTCTACAAATAGCTCTGGTATGTTGGTGGGCATAAAATGAACATTAATATCCTCTGATATGTTGGTGGGCACATAAAGGAGCGTTATAATGCTCTGGTATGTTGGTGGGCACATAAAGAAGCGTTATAATGCTCTGGTATGTTGATGGGCACATAAAGGTTGATATGTTCTGTTATGTTGGTGGGCACATAAAGGTTGATATGCTCTGGTATGTTGGTGGGCACATAAAGGTTGATATGTTCTGGTATGTTGGTGGCATATAAAAGTTGATATGCTCTGGTATGTTGGTAGGTACATAAAGGTTGATATGCTCTGGTATGTTGGTGGGCACATAAAGATTGATCTGTTCTGGTATGTTGGTATGCACATAAAGGTTGATATGTTCTGGTATGTTGGTAGGCACATAAAGGTTGATATGTTCTGTTATGTTGGTATGCACATAAAGGTTGATATGCTCTGGTATGTTGGTGGGCATAAAATGAACATTAATATCCTCTGATATGTTGGTGGGCACATAAAGGAGCGTTATAATGCTTTGGTATGTTGGTGGGCACATAAAGAAGCGTTATAATGCTCTGGTATGTTGATGGGCACATAAAGGTTGATATGTTCTGTTATGTTGGTGGGCACATAAAGGTTGATATGCTCTGGTATGTTGGTGGGCACATAAAGGTTGATATGTTCTGGTATGTTGGTGGCATATAAAAGTTGATATGCTCTGGTATGTTGGTAGGTAAATAAAGGTTGATATGCTCTGGTATGTTGGTGGGCACATAAAGATTGATCTGTTCTGGTATGTTGGTATGCACATAAAGGTTGATATGTTCTGGTATGTTGGTATGCACATAAAGGTTGATATGCTCTGGTATGTTGGTGGGCACATAAAGATTGATCTGTTCTGGTATGTTGGTATGCACATAAAGGTTGATATGTTCTGGTATGTTGGTATGCACATAAAGGTTGATATGTTCTGGTATGTTGGTGGGCACATAAAGGTTGATATGTTCTGGTATGTTGGTGGGCACATAAAGGTTGATATGTTCTGGTATGTTGGTATGCACATAAAGGTTGATATGTTCTGGTATGTTGGTGGGCACATACAGGTTGATATGTTCTGGTATGTTGGTGGGCACATAAAGGTTGATATGCTCTGGTATGTTGGTGGGCACATAAAGGTTGATATGTTCTGTTATGTTAGTGGGCACATAAAGGTTGATATGTTATGGTATGTTGGTGGGCACATAAAGGTTGATATGCTCTGGTATGTTGGTGGGCACATAAAGGTTGATATGTTCTGGTATGTTGGTGGGCACATAAAGGTTGATATGTTCTGTTATGTTGGTGGGCACATAAAAGTTGATATGCTCTGGTATGTTGGTGGGCACATAAAGGTTGATATGTTCTGGTATGTTTGTGGGCACATAAAGGTTGATATGTTCTGTTATGTTGGTGGGCACATAAAGGTTGATATGTTCTGGTATGTTGGTGGGCACATAAAGGGTGATATGTTCTTGTATGTTAGTGGGCACTTAAATTAACATTAATATGCTCTGGTATGTTGGTGGGCACACAAAGGTTGATATGCTCTGGTATGTTGGTGGGCACATAAAGGTTGATATGTTCTGGTATGTTGGTGGGCACATAAAGGTTGATATGTTCTTGTATGTTGGTGGGCACTTAAATGAACATTAATATGCTCTGGTATGTTGGTGGGCACATAAAGGTTGATATGCTCTGGTATGTTGGTGGGCACATAAAGGTTGATATGTTCTGGTATGTTGGTAGGCACATAAATGTTGATATGCTCTGGTATGTTGGTGGGCACATAAATGTTGATATGCTCTGGTATGTTGGTAGGCACATAAGGGTTGATATGTTCTGGTATGTTGGTTGGCACATAAAAGTTGACATGCTCTGGTATGTTGGTAGGCACATAAAGGTTGATATGTTTTGGTATTTTGGTAGGCACATAAAGTTTGATATGTTCTGGTATGTTGTTAGACACATAAAGGTTGATATGTTCTGGTATGTTGGGAGGCACATAAAGGTTGATATGTTCTGGTATGTTGGTAGGCATATAAAGGTTGATATGCTCTGGTATGTTGGTGGGCACATAAAGGTTGATATGTTTTGGTATGTTGGTGGGCATATAAAGGTTGATATGCACCATTGATTTAATGAATTAGACAATTCTTTAAAGGATGATTTATGCAATAACTATTCTACAATTCTAAAATGGATAACAATTCAATAACAATAAATCAGATAGCTTAAAAGTAAACGGTAAGAAACAACTCATGACCGTTACATACTGTCCAATTCTAACATAACTCAGAAAGAATAAAAAAAATAATAACTCAAATAATAACAATAATATTACAACAGTTTGAAAGAAATGACTATATGATACATAGAAAATGAAATGGCAATCATATGCATCAAACATGCAATAAGCATTGTCTATACCACTTTTAACCTAAAGAGTTGAACAGGATATTCTTTATATGCACCTTACTACTATACACCGTCTATAATGGTGCTGCATTTTCTTTCATTTATCCTGTCTGCCCGTGTTTTCTACATGTTTTCTAAGGTTCTGACAACAACTTTAGATGTCTATTCTAGAATTAACACTGAAATGTTTGGCTATTCCAACAATTATTGTTTAATTGTATGTTTTCACTATTTCAACAATTATTGTTTAATTGTATGTTTTCACTGATTCCAAACAGAAGGCCACAGACATTTTGTGATACAACACAGGCAGCAGAGAAAACATTATCTGGGATAGGAACCCTTACATTCAGCACTTTAATTTCAGCAACAGCACCCAAGTCAAACTCTGGCCCCCAAAAAACACAACAACAACATTGTATCCAGAAACAAGAAATGCCAATCAGAACTGCAGGTAGACAGATGATGCTTACCAACCTAATGATGAACTCCACAAGATGACAGGTCTACAAACAAACAAGACAAATTAGTCAAAAATATCAAACAGAATCTTGGCACCTTCTATTGTAAAAGTCTTAATATGCGGTTTATTTGAGCTAAGGAATTTTTTTCTTTCTCAGAAACCATGAGTTGTAAGCCCCTTGGCTCAATACTATAGATACTGCAATCCTTTGGCCTTGATTCCATGACAGATACTACAAATCTAGGAAATATGTGGCTTTTCTGCTTACCCCCAAACGTGAACTTGGACGACGAGGATTTTGTCAGCCAATTGCTGCACAGCTGGTTTAACCAACTTAGCTAGCATGCCGAGCTTGAGCTAAAGACTTGTAGTTCACTGACCATGAAAAAAGAATATAATTCTACTGATCTTGAGAAAGGATACAGTTCCACTGATCTTGAGAAAGGACACAGTTACACTGATCTTAAGAAAGGATTCAGTTCCACTGATCTTAAGAAAGAATTCAGTTCCACTGATGTTGAGAAAGGACATAGTTCCACTGATCTTGAGAAAGGACACAGTTCCACTGATCTTGAGAAAGAATTCAGTTCCACTGACCTTGAGAAAGGACACAGTTCCACTGACCTTGAGAAAGGACACAGTTCCACTGATCTTTAGAAAGGACACAGTTCCACTGACCTTGAGAAAGGACACAGTTACACTGACCTTGAGAAAGGACACAGTTACACTGATCTTGAGAAAGGACACAGTTCCACTGATCTTTAGAAAGGACACAGTTCCACTGATCTTTAGAAAGGACACAGTTCCACTGACCTTGAGAAAGGATACAGTTACACTGATCTTGAGAAAGGACACAGTTCCACTGATCTTTAGAAAGGACACAGTTTCACTGACCTTGAGAAAGGACACAGTTACACTGACCTTGAGAAAGGACACAGTTACACTGATCTTGAGAAAGGACACAGTTCCACTGATCTTTAGAAAGGACACAGTTCCACTGACCTTGAGAAAGGACACAGTTACACTGATCTTGAGAAAGGACAGTTCCACTGATCTTTAGAAAGGACACAGTTCCACTGACCTTGAGAAAGGACACAGTTACACTGACCTTGAGAAAGGACACAGTTACACTGATCTTGAGAAAGGATACAGTTCCACTGATCTTGAGAAAGGACACAGTTCCATAGATCTTGAGAAAAGACACAGTTCCACTGATCTTGAGAAAGGACACAGTTCCACTCATCTTGAGAAAGGACACAGTTACACTGATCTTAAGAAAGGATTCAGTTCCACTGATCTTAAGAAAGAATTCAGTTCCACTGATGTTGAGAAAGGACATAGTTCCACTGATCTTGAGAAAGGACACAGTTCCACTGATCTTGAGAAAGGATACAGTTCCACTGATGTTGAGAAAGGACACAGTTCCACTGATCTTGAGAAAGGACACAGTTCCACTGATCTTGAGAAAGGATACAGTTCCACTGATCTTGAGAAAGGACACAGTTCCACTGATCTTGAGAAAGTATACAGTTCCACTGATCTTGAGAAAGGATACAGTTCCACTGACCTTGAGAAAGGACACAGTTACACTGACCTTGAGAAAGGACACAGTTCCACTGATCTTGAGAAAGGACACAGTTCCACTGATCTTGAGAAAGGACACAGTTCCACTGATCTTGAGAAAGGACACAGTTCCACTGATCTTGAGAAAGGATACAGTTACACTGACCTTGAGAAAGGACACAGTTACACTGACCTTGAGAAAGGACACAGTTCCACTGATCTTGAGAAAGGACACAGTTCCACTGATCTTGAGAAAGGACACAGTTCCACTGATCTTGAGAAAGGACACAGTTCCACTGATCTTGAGAAAGGACACAGTTCCACTGATCTTGAGAAAGGACACAGTTCCACTGATCTTGAGAAAGGATACAGTTCCACCGATGTTGAGAAAGGACACAGTTCCACTGATCTTAAGAAAGGACACAAGTTCCACTGATCTTAAGAAAGGACACAAGTTATTCAGTCAATCTTGAGAAAGAACCTACAGCTGAGTTCAAGAACACAAGAGTTCATGAAGAAAGACTATTAAAGTATTTTGTGTCCACTTGTACCCATAATGATTTTATTGTCCAACACAACACAACACAACACAACACAGCACAACACAACACAGCACAGCACAACACAACACAACACACGACTGGTCCCGTACAACATCACAAAGAAGAACAGGGCCCACGGTGTCACTTTCTACCAAACAGACAGAAAGAAAGAAAGAGAGACAGAGAGAGAGAAAGTGTTTTGTGTGAAAACCCTCTAGGGAATGGACAGTCCCTCTGCAGACAGATTAATGATTAGGGACTAGTAAGGATTATCATCACAGCACTCCGGTCAGATCCATAGGTGCTCCGATATCCTCTTTAACAGCTCTAAAAGAGTAAAATGACTGACCATGCATGTTCTTTGTTGATTAATTAGACGCCTTGTGCCCTTAGTGAAATATTCATGTTTGGTTGCTCCAGGTAGCACCGCTGTGTCCACTAACCTGGACAACACCGCTGTGTCCACTAACCTGGACAACACCGCTGTGTCCACTAACCTGGACAACACCGCTGTGTCCACTAACCTGGACAACACCGCTGTGTCCACTAACCTGGACAACACTGCTGTGTCCACTAACCTGGACAACACCGCTGTGTCCACTAACCTGGACAACACCGCTGTGTCCACTAACCTGGGTAACACCGCTGTGTCCACTAACTTGGACAACACCGCTGTGTCCACTAACCTGGACAACACCGCTGTGTCCACTAACCTGGACAACACAGCTGTGTCCACTCACCTGGACAACACCGCTGTGTCCACTCACCTGGACAACACAGCTGTGTCCACTCACCTGGACAACACCGCTGTGTCCACTCACCTGGACATGGACACCAAGTCATGCTTTTTTCTCATGATCTACTGCACAATGTGCAACTGGCATGTCATTAATGACACCTTCAATGCTTCTAGTGCCGGTCATGGTCAAACACCTTGTCAACCAGATAATCTGCACGCTTATTGCAGTGAACACTTGCATGGCCCAGAACACAGATCAAAAGTTAGGCAAGTTATTTGTGATGCATTTAATTAGAGAATCTGCAAAAAGAGATATAGAGAGAGATAGAGAGAGAGAGAGAGCGAACAGAGATAAATTCAGGCCGAGAGAGAGAGAGAGAGAGAGAGAGAGAGAGAGAGAGAGAGAGAGAGAGAGAGAGAGAGAGAGAGAGAGAGAGAGAGAGAGAGGCAGACAGAGAGAAAGATAGAAATATGGAATGGGATACAAGCTGGTGTAGCCAAGTGAATGCTATTGCCATGACACACTATTTGTAATGCAGTTCTTAAACTGAGTTCTTGTCATTGTTACTTACTTAAGCTCTGTATTCTGTGTCATTGTTACTTACTTAAGCTCTGTATTCTGTGTCACTGTTACTTACTTAAGCTCTGTATTCTGTGTCATTGTTACTTACTTAAGCTCTGTATTCTGTGTCATTGTTACTTACTTAAGCTCTGTATTCTGTGTCATTGTTACTTACTTAAGCTCTGTATTCTGTGTCATTGTTACTTACTTAAGCTCTGAATTCTGTGTCATTGTTACTTACTTAAGCTCTGTATTCTGTGTCATTAGCTCTTGCAGTTTTTGTGTGTACTTGGCATCAATCTGTGACACCTTTTCTTCAAATCTCTCCTCAAAATCCACAAGCCGTACTTTCTTTGGATGTAAAAAAAAAACATTAACAAAAAGTAAGTTGAATTTGTTAACACTAAAAGTATATTTTTAGTGTTACATATCAGAATAACTACTTTACAGATGGTGGTTGTTGTTCCCCTCCAGAGTTGCTATCTGTAGGATTAACATTTCAAGGATGAGAAAATAACGAAAAACGTCATCCTAAAATGGACGGCAAATAGTAAAGTTAAGTTGTACAGCTGACGTCTGCTGGGAATTGTTTCCCGTTGTCTGGTTGATAAAATGGTGTACTGTCATCTGAATTGTGTCAGTTATTGTTTGTGACGCAGACAAACTGAATGTGTCCGCAAGTTGCTCAGCTGTTGACGTGAATATATTAACATTTTTCACAACAATATTTTCTTAGTGTAAATATAAATAATGCGGACACAAACAATGCAGTCAACAATCTTTTTTCTGGCATTTTTTTGTTATTATTGGCCGAGCAGAGGCATACACTAATAATACCATCTAAAAATTCTTTGTAGGACGTCATGAGTGTGACCTCAGGCATATAGTTGATAAGGACACTACCTTCAGAATTAATTACCATGTATTAAAAAGGTGCTTACTAAAGCTAGCTGAAGCCATGACAATAAAAATGAATGCTCCACTCTGTGTAAAAAGATCACGGTACTTTAGAAACTACATCGCTAATCACATGTCTAATATAACATTTTTGGCAGAGAGATGACAAGTGCAATTAGATAATGTGATTTGTGTTAAAAGTTAGTTGTGTATCCTTTACAGGACGTTGCAGAACCAACCCCAGTATTTATTAGTGTTGTGGTTTTTCTAGGCTAACTTTGCATTCAGTAGATTGCCATTGCTTACTGATTGGTCAGCTCTCGGTACTATTGTAGAAACCAATGCAAGACAAACCTTTCTGCAGCTGGGATCGAACCTGGCACCCCAGCATTATGAAGCACATTTGCAACGCTTAAGCACAAACCATTTGTGTATTTCAGTGAAAAAGATTTACTTCATTATAAAAAAAAAAAAGTAAAAAGTAAAGATCTCTTTTCCCGCCTTTATGCCTATCTGGCACATGGGAAGAGCAGCCAGATTTTTTACAGACCATCAGCACTCAGTGGGTAATGTGGTCAACATTATGCCAGCTGCCTTTACTTCCCCAGGACAGCCTTCCTGTTACCCATTTTGGGCTGGTTCCACCTGCGATTCCCCTATACCATGATAAAAATCCACGCAGCCAGCAGTGAGTTTTGATTGCGGTATGTTTGAATTATGAGTCGGACTAGCAACGCCTAAGCCGCAGACGCCACTTACTTTATTATATGTTGATTACATTTTGTAGAAAAGCAGCTGCTGAGATACACAGAAATATGGCGGGCTAGAAACTGTGCAATCAATTGTGGCTGTCGCAATATTTACATTATAATTTGTCCTTTATTTCTGGCTACAACTGACAAACTCACCGCGTCCCTGAGCTGGTCAGTTACACTGGCCAGTTGCTGACAGACTGTGCTGTAACTGTCTTTCAAGGACTGCAACTCAGACTTGGTTTCCTGGCAACACAAATAACAGTTACTGACCTGCACAACTCAAGTCACTGATGACGATGGTGAAAGACTGCAGTAATCAAAGTCACATGATAGTTTTACAATTTCCTGCTCACAAATGTACAATAACTCAGTTTCTGAATGAAATGAATTGATTCACTTGCTATCTGAAAGTTTTTCCTCTTCTGTCATTTCCGTCTCAATGGAGCAGAACACCTGAAATGAGTTTATCTCAGACTTGTCAACTATTAGTTGGATTCTAAACCAACAGTTTTCTACCAGATGATGTCGTCTCATGTCAGTCCTCCATAGCTGGTTCTTATGACATGCATGGTAGATTATACAGTTACTATTTGTTTGTTTGCTGTTTATATTTACCTGATAAAGCCTGGGTTCTCTCTCTCTCAGGCTGAAGTCTGATTTGACTAACATTACAGGTCGCCGCTCGGATTTCAGGAAAATGCTTTCACAACATAAAGACATGTAGTTTATGAACAAACATTTGATGCCAGTTTACCAGTTTATCTGTAGGTGTCCAGGAATCTATTATATGCAAAGAAGCAGGGAGCAAAGATGAGATGCTATTTCAGAATTGTTATTTGCAGATGACCAAGAACCAATAGCAGAAATAGAAAAGAGTCTGCACAACCATCTCTTCTTCTTTGTTTACCAACTGTAGGCTCCCTCGGAAATTCCTGGTTGCTTGTCCATCTGGAGTTTGGCTTTGTGCCAGGGCCTGAGTTTTGCTTGTAAATCTGTTTTACTGGCTTATTTGTGTGCAGTTAGTTACTGATTGCCGCTGGGAAGGAAGTCCCCAATTAGTCGACTCCTGTGACATGTGTGTCGGAGCGGCAATGGGTCTGTCACTTTGTTTCCTACAATAGGGCCCTGGAACCCACAATGGGGCCCTGGAACCCACAATGGGGCCCTGGAACCCACAATAGGGCCCTGGAACCCACAATGGGGCCCTGGAACCCACAATGAGGCTCTGGAACCCACAATGGGGCCCTGGAACCCACAATGGGGCCCTGGAACCCACAATGGGGCCCTGGAACCCACAATGGGGCCCTGGAACCCACAATGGGGCCCTGGAACCCACACTGGGGCCCTGGAACCCACAATGGGGCCCTGGAACCCACAATGAGGCTCTGGAACCCACAATGGGGCCCTGGAACCCACAATGGGGCCCTGGAACCCACACTGGGGCCCTGGAACCCACAATGGGGCCCTGGAACCCACACTGGGGCCCTGGAACCCACACTGGGGCCCTGGAACCCACACTGGGGCCCTGGAACCCACACTGGGGCCCTTGAACCCACACAGGGAAGAACCATCTCAAGTAAGTCAGTACCAAGGGCCAGAATTACAATACAAAAATAAACTTGAAGACAACGACAAAAGTGACAGGTAGACAACCAGAGATGATATAAATATAAATAAACAACAGAGACATAAAACAAACAAGTAAATTTAAGTATCTACTGTCAATGTTCACATCAGATTGAAGAATCAATAGAGAAAACATACATGATGGGCAAACACAAATCAGGAACTGGGACAACAAAGACACACATGTATACTTGTGCCAGTCAAAGCAAATCTAACAACTGTTACTAATGGCCAACTCTCTCTATGCTACCAGGGTCAAAAATCAAAGCAAATCTAACAACTGTTACTAATGGCCAACTCTCTCTATGCCAGCAGGGTCAAAGATGGACCCTGATTAAAACTAATGAGTGCAAAATCACAACAGACAAGGTCTTAGCAGAGCTGCCAGAGTAACAGGAAGCAATCAAATTAAAAATTACCTACCTCTAACAGTAGCTGGACACAGTAACTGACCTACATGTAACAGTAGCTGGACACAGTAACTGACCTACATGTAACAGTAGCTGGACACAGTAACTGACCTACATGTAACAGTAGCTGGACACAGTAACTGACCTACCTCTAACAGTTCAGTGGTTTCCTTCAACTTCTCCAGGTCTGCTGCTGCATTAGAAAATCGATATACCAGACTCTGAAAAGATTCCAACAAAGAAGTATTTTAGGCTTTGATCACTGAGAATTCTTGTGAGAGTCATGCTGTCATTTACACATTTGGGTCTGTTGTTTAAGACATGAGAAGCTTATGGGTTTTTATAGCTGAGGTTAGTGAGAGAACGGTCTTAGAAGATTCGGGTGCTTTTGTTGTGACTATTGGAGGTTATGACAGTAACTAAAGCAAGATCCTGCTTGGAGACACAGACTTGGCATGTTTTCTCTACGAGTGTGCTCAGAAAACAGTGGTTGGAGTATCTGAGGCGGAAACATCGGACTAATATCAATTTTCATGCCACTAGAACATGCAGATATACATGGAAATGGATAATATGACAGGCCTATACGTAAGTTTACTGTGGAAGGCGTTCAAGCAAATTGATCACACTGACATACTGAACACTTGATGAGAAGTAAGATGTTTGTGAGAATCAAGTGATGACTGTAAATCTGCAACCATGACCAGACTGCAAGAACAGAAAGTTAAAAGAGGTGTGGCAAGGCAAGAGCATTATGCAGGAAGCCAGAAAAAAAAAAAGAAGAAGAACAAACAAGAAGTGGTGTCAGCTGCTTGGGATGAGATACACGCACTTATGGATTGAGTGTTTCACTGTGCAATGAGATGATCTGTCGACTAACTAACTATTCACATAACTGGATCCAGTAGTCATCAGTTCACTGTTTTTATGCCATAGACTTTTGCATTTCTTTATAGATTAAGTTCTTTTTTTTTCTCTGTTAATCAAAAAGTTGCTGTGTCTGATTATTTTACTCAAACCAGTCATGGCTTTTCAGTTCTTTTATGCTAAAAACTTTTGCAGTTCTTTATAGATTAAGTTCTTTTATGACACAGACTTTTGTATTTCTTTATAGATTAAGTTCTTTTATGACACAGGCTTTTGCATTTTGTAATAGATTAAGTTCTTTTAAGACTCAGACTTTTGCATTTCTTTATAGATTAAGTTCTTTTATGACACAGGCTTTTGCAGTTCTTTATAGACAAAGTTCTTTTATAAGATAGACTTTTGCAGCTCTTTATAGACAAAGTTTTTTAAATAAGATCGACTTTTGCAGCTCTTTATAGACAACGTTCTTTTATGCCACAGACTTTTGCATTTCTTTATAGATTAATTTTAAGGATATATTTGTTAAAACTAAAATCTGAAAAGAAAAAAAAAAAAGTTAAGTGTATCCCGTGTTAAACCTGATGTACAGTCATCTCTGATATCTCACTCACCCGATACAAACCAAAACTCACTCACCCGATAGCTCATTTGATCTCATACACTCAATCTCACAAACCTGATCTCATACACTTTATCTCCCACATGTGTTATCTGAGTTTATCTCATACACTCAATCTCCCACATGTGTTATCTGAGTTTATCTCATACACTCAATCTCCCACATGTGTTATCTGAGTTTATCTCATACACTCAATCTCCCACCCTTGATATTCCACTCCTGATATCACTCATTTTACTTCACACACTCAATCTCATACACCTGATCTCATACACTTGATATCACTCAGTTTTTCTCATACATCTGATCTCACATCCTTGATCAATTTAGGTGAAATAACACAGAAATTACATCCATTTCCTGTTTGTGTTGTTGACGCATTGCTTCAATGGCTTTCTGGTGTTCTCTGGCAAGGTTGCTTCTCTCTTGATTCCACTCCTGGATGAGTTTGCTTTCTGCAAGATTGATGACAAACAAAGTAAGATCTGATGGGTTTTATGTTTTTAAGTGAAGGGAGGCAAGGTCAATTTCACACTGTGCCTTTTCCCCATAATATCTGAAACTGGGCCTGAATAATTGATACAGTCTGTCTTTTGCAATCTTTACCCAACAGTTACTTATTTTATAAATTATACTAAATATTACCTAATTATATAAACTATACTAAATATTTTAAAATCCTTAAACAACACTTATTATTAATTCATTTTGTAAACTCTACTAAATATTCATGTATTATATCAACCATCAAAGATACAGTTTGAAGCATTTGTTCCGTACAACACCCAACTTAAAGAGGTATCCAGAAATGTCCCGAGAAGTCAAGGTGGCTTTCACGGTACTGACATCTCTGATCTCACTGACTATACAAACATGAATGTTAAAATATGTCCCTAGCATGATATACCCGATGCATCAAGGATGCACGGAAAGTGCTCATCTTTAGCTTTTTAAACTCACACGTGCACATGAAGACACTCCAGTTAATGACATGCAAACGAGTGAGGATATACTTTACATTTTATGTGAAAACTATTCTGTTGGTCTGCTAATTTATTTGATAATATCATCTGAGAGTATATCTGGCAATAAGCCACCAATGTTCAGATACCGGCAAATTAATCAGTGACACTTCTGGTTCCTGAAACAGCCAGATTTCATTTTCATCATGAAACTTCAGAACATTGTCATCTGGAAACAACTAAAAGAAAAAAGAGCAATGAAAAAAGACAATGGCAAACTGGCATTATGGCCTCTGAGACAACTCTTACTGATTTCATGAATAGCCTGCTGTTTTTCTTCAGCAGAATGGAAATTGCGCTTCTCTTCAGAGGTGCTGGACTTCTGGCTGGCTTCTGTCTGTAGGGTGCCTTTATAAGTCTCAAAAGCACTTTGTAAGAACTCAATCTCCTTTGCCATGTGACCTGTGAGAAATGTGGACCACGGAGAGAAACATGAGAACACGGACACAATCATGTGGACACAAACAGTTTACTAATTAATGCATGGCACATTTCACTGTATCTTGCCAGGTATGTTACAACAGAGTTAGATTAACAAATAATGAAGCACAAAGAAAACTGTATAAATTCCACTGATCACAAATGGTCGCTGTCAATGCATGATTTTCATCTAATCATCAAAGTTTTTGATAGTCATGTCACAGGGTAACTTAAACCTGACAATGAAATTCTTCTGTTTAAATAAAAGGGAGTTTATTGCTTTTTACTGTTAAAGCTTCAGCCAGTCTAAGCATTCACCTGTTCAAAATCCGGTTCAAATAATAATCTGAGAACAAATGTCCTAGTCGGGCAGGCTCATAAACAAAGACTGAAATGATGAATCGGGTCCCTTTCCAAAGGAATCTTAACTCTGATGAAAGTGGTTCTTCAGGCCACGTCTGCCACCATGTCAGCCCAGATTTCCTAGCAGAAATCACCGATTGTGATTGCCACGCATGTCATGGCACAGCTACACTTGTACATTATGTCATGATACAACTACACTGGTACAATATGTCATGGTACAACTACTCTTGTACATTATGTCATGATACAACTACACTTGTACATTATGTCACGGTACAACTACACTTGTACATTATGTCATGGTACAACTACACTTGTAAATTATGTCATGGCACAGCTTCACTTGTACATTATGTCATGGTACAACTACACTTGTACATTATGTCACGGTACAACTACACTTGTACATTATGTCACTATACAACTACACTTGTACATTATGTCATGGTACAACCACACTGGTACATTATGTTATGGTACAACTACACTTGTACAATATGTCACGGTACAACTACACTTGTACATTATGTCACGGTACAACTACACTTGTACATTATGTCATGGTACAACTACACTTGTACATTATGTCACGGTACAACTACACTTGTACATTATGTCATGGTACAACTACACTGGTACATTATGTCATGGTACAACTACACTGGTACATTATGTCATGGTACAACTACACTTGTACATTATGTCACGGTACAACTACACTTGTAAATTATGTCATGGTACAACTACACTTGTACATTATGTCACAGTACAACTACACTTGTACATTATGTCACGGTACAACTACACTTGTACATTATGTCACGGTACAACTACACTGGTACATTATGTCATGGTACAACTACACTTGTACATTATGTCACGGTACAACTACACTTGTACATTATGTTATGGTACAACTACACTTGTACATTATGTCATGGTACAACTACACTTGTACATTATGTCATGGTACAACTACACTGGTACATTATGTCACAGTACAACTACACTGGTACATTATGTCATGGTACAACTACACTGGTACATTATGTCATGTAACAACTACACTGGTACATTATGTCATGGTACAACTACACTGGTACATTATGTCATGGTACAACTACACTGGTACATTATGTCACGGTACAACTACACTGGTACATTATGTCACGGTACAACTACACTTGTACATTATGTCATAGTACAACTACACTTGTACATTATGTCATGGTACAACTACACTTGTACATTATGTCACGGTACAACTACACTGGTACATTATGTCATGGTACAACTACACTGGTACATTATGTCATGGTACAACTACACTGGTACATTATGTCACGGTACAACTACACTGGTACATTATGTCATGGTACAACTACACTTGTACATTATGTCATGGTACAACTACACTTGTAAATTATGTCATAGTATACTTGTGACACAGTTGCGTCTTTCACATCCCCCAAGAATAGATGTGCCTAATTCGGAACTTAGTATATGATAGATACTGGTTGTAAGTTGAATTATTGTGTTTAACAACACAGCCGTTGATAAAACAGTATACGGTTATAAGATTTTTTTATTCAACAATATAATTTCAATCTATGCAGAACGAATATATTTCATTTAAGCCACAGAATAACATTCTAGTATCTTATTACTGGCTATTCATATGTCTGATGATAAGTTCTTTAATCTTTTCCAGCAAAGCAAAACCAAAGTTTACTATATTTCTTCTAGCGTAGCAGAGTTCTTGTCAACCACCCTCTCAAGCGTCTAGGCACTCACTGTCCCTTCTCTCCCCTCGCTCGCCTCCTCTTCTCACCCGCCTCTTCTCTCTTCCTGGCATGGGTTATCAATCAGCGTCTGTCACCCTTCATCCTGTTCCATGTTATCGTCTTTAGGGGGTCGTCTGCATTCCTCGATGCTCTCGTGGTCTGTCTTATCTATCTGACACCTTCGTCTTTCCTCATTGAGCACTTGTCGACCTCAGCCTCTCTAGTGCATCTTCGTGTGGTCTTTCCTGACCAGCGTTCTAATCTAGTTTCTAGGGTTGTCCGCTTATCATACGTATTCATCCGTCAAGGTCAGATGTCACGGAATTATCTGGATTAACGTACTCTGTTCAACCCTGGTCACAGTGCACCTGTTCCTACGCACTCCCCCAAAGGTCACTGACGTATCTGTTTGGCCTTGTCTGACCAGCGTTCTAATCACCGTTTTCTATGATGCCACCCAGCTACACTTGTAAATTATGTAAGAACACTGTTCTAATTAAAATTATTTAAATCAATAAGGAAATGACAGACTGGCAACAGACAGCTGGCCACACACAGACTGGCAACAGACAGCTGGCCACACACAGACTGGCAACAGACAGCTGGCCACACACAGACTGGCAACAGACAGCTGGCCACACACAGACTGGCAACAGACAGCTGGCCACACACAGACTGGCAACAGACAGACTGGCAACAGACAGCTGGCCACACACAGACTGGCAACAGACAGCTGGCCACACACAGACTGGCAACAGACAGCTGGCCACACACAGACTGGCAACAGACAGACTGGCAACAGACAGACTGGCAACAGACAGACTGGCAACAGACAGACTGGCAACAGACAGACTGGCAACAGACAGACTGGCAACAGACAGACTGGCAACAGACAGACTGGCAACAGACAGACTGGCAACAGACAGACTGGCAACAGACAGCTGGCCACACACAGACTGGCAACAGACAGCTGGCCACACACAGACTGGCAACAGACAGCTGGCCACACACACTGAAGATGAAGATAAAGATGATGATGATTGATGGAGACCATCAGGACAACAAACGATGTTAACAGTAACTGACTGATCTGATTTTCCAAAGTGTTCCGCACTTCGGTGTGTTCCGCTTGTAACTTCTGCTTCTGCTGCAACAACTCCTCTTGGTGCTCAGTTTTCAGATCCCTGTGGAAGACACAGACACTGCTGGCAATGTGGACAACACTGACAATGTGGACAACACTGACAAGTGGAAAACACTGAAAAGTGGAAAACACTGACAATGTAGAAAACACTGACAATGAACATAAAAGATTGGACACTCCCACAGAAATTAATCAGCCCTATCCTCTGTTTATCACAGGTCATGGTTAAAGATTGACTGTGATGAACTTACAAGTCAAGGGTCAGAGGTTAACTGTGACCAACACTATATGTTGTGATTGAAGGGTCAACAAATACTGGACAATAAATCTGTGAGACAACAATGAACCTGTTCAGTCTCAATGCGAGAAGGTGTGTCGACTGCTTCCAGCCACAGTCTGTTCCAACAATGGCCGTGTGCACCTGAAATAGTCAACTGGGAAATGATGATGATGTTTGTATGAACAAAGAGACATCACAGAAAATCTACGGCTGTGGAACAGGTCTAATGACACGAATATCCTGCACCAGAGTAAATCTACTAAGGACAGAGATACAGAAATGCTGGTTTTACATGAAAGAAATAATTTTTCTTGAGATGCCAAGCCTGGAGTAGATATTGGCGGTCACCATTCTTCTCTAGCAATTGACAAGGTGCTGCTTACAACGTTATTTGTTGCTGGTTTCCCCCACAAACGTTTGTCTCTGCCCCAGTTGTCCAGTATATTCCCATATAATGATCATGTCTTTATTCCACATCTCAAGTTGATGAGCTCCCCTGAAATGTTATTTGCCTTTTCCCAATGGATGGTTAGAAGAATGATCTAGTCAATCCTGCAGCTCTCCTGTGGCCGTGATAGTCTGACCATTTTTCTCAAACATCACAGACAAACATCACACACAAACATCACATACAAATATCACATACAAACATCACACACAAACCATCTAGTCTCTGCTGTTTCAGTACCAGCTGGCCAGATTTAGCTTCCATATGGTTGGGATAAAAACATTTTCACAAAAGTGAAGCGGTTTACTAGTACAAGACTTTTTGCTACCCTGATGATATCTGGACTCACCTGATTTGATCTTGAAACTGTGATGTCATTTGATCTATTTTATCTTTCAGGATTTGCTCAGCCTGTGATATGAAAATCAAAAATATTAAAAATCCATGGGCTACTATTTGAAGAAATACAAATTAGAGACTTCACAAGAACAAAATGAAGATTTGTTGGTTGGCAGATTTCTAGAAAGCTACGGAATCTAATTCTTGAGTGCACAGCTCTGAGATGACTCTGACTGAGCTCTGAACAGGGCTTGCAACTACCAGGACTGGACTTTCCTTCTAAACTGTTACAGATGTTCCATCTCCAGAGGGACTGTGGCATAGAGAGTTCCTGATCAGTGTCACAACCCTGTGTGCACAATCATGTACAAAGGTGTACCGTGTTCAGGGTTGACCCCAGAGTTGATACAAAGGTCAGTGGCGTGACTGGCCAAGTCTGTGCTGTTTGCACGGTGAGGCTATTGCTCATTAGAGACCACTTGAAGACAACAAGTGAGAGTAAACTCTGTTACAGACAAGTTTGCAACACGATTGCCCTATGAGGGACTGAGCAGGTGAACGGGTCAAAAGACACGAGGTGAGAGAACACAGGAGATTGGGTGTGCAGTGTTGAGACCAGGCAGACGTGTTAGCGAGACAGTGATAGAATATAAGAGTTAGGATATTTCTTTAGTGACTGCATAGATTATTTACAGTGTTCTGTTAGAATAGGATAGTCTTTTGTGCTGTGTATTTAACTGGTATAATGTATTGTTTCACAATAAGTAAGTAGTGTCCAGTTACTTCTGACCAGTTAAATCATTTAGGTACACGTTCTGTGAGAGAATGTCTAACCTTGTCACGTGGACCCTGCACTAGACCGAGGCTGTGACATCTTGGTAGGTCAGTGTGTCAATAGGAAAGAGCGTATCTTGCCTAGCTGTGGTTTGTGCACCAGAGATTGCCCGTGGAACGGACTGGAGAGCGAGGTGACTGTAAATCTTGTTCGGCCAGAGGGTCCAGGCAATAGGTGTCCACACAGCAGGAAGTCAAATGTCTGTTGTATTACCTGTACTTGCAATAAAGACTGTCGTATGTGCCCTGTGTGCGTTCCGGTTCAGTGTGTGTTAAAGGTTAGTTTGTCTGTCATAGGCCCAGTTACGAGCCACGGACCATCAGGGTTACCCCAAGGTCTGTGACAATCAGTTCCAAGCTTGAAAAGTTCCCATCTCAAAGAGGCAGGGTAAAACTGAAGACCAAGCTGTTGTTTAAGCTACATTATAAAGATTGCTTTATGGGAAATTAGATGTTATTGTAGAGGATGAGACACAAGAAACATTAGATATTATTGTAGAGAATGGGTTACAAGATAAATTAGATGTTATTGTAGAGCATGGGATACAAGAGACATTAGATGTTATTGTAGAGAATTTGACACAAGAGACATTAGATGTTATTGTAAAGAATGGGATACAAGATAAATTAGATGTTATTGTAGAGAATAGGACACAAGAGACATTAGATGTTGTTGTAGAGAATGGGTTACAAGATAAATTAGATGTTATTGTAGAGAATGGGTTACAAAATAAATTAGATGTTATTGTAGAGAATGGGTTACAAGATAAATTAGATGTTATTGTAGAGAATTGGACACAAGATAAATTAGATGTTATTGTAGAGAATGGGTTACAAAATAAATTAGATGTTATTGTAGAGAATGGGTTACAAGATAAATTAGATGTTATTGTAGAGAATTGGACACAAGAGACATTAGATGTTATTGTAGAGAATGGGTTACAAAATAAATTAGATGTTATTGTAGAGAATGGGTTACAAGATAAATTAGATGTTATTGTAGAGAATGGGTTACAAAATAAATTAGATGTTATTGTAGAGTATGGGATACAAGAGACATTAGATGTTATTGTAGAGAATTTGACACAAGAGACATTAGATGTTATTGTAAAGAATGGGATACAAGATAAATTAGATGTTATTGTAGAGAATAGGACACAAGAGACATTAGATGTTATTGTAGAGTATGGGATACAAGATAAATTAGATGTTATTGTAGAGAATGGGACACAAGAGACATTAGATGTTATTGTAGAGAATGGGTTACAAAATAAATTAGATGTTATTGTAGAGAATGGGTTACAAGATAAATTAGATGTTATTGTAGAGAATGGGTTACAAAATAAATTAGATGTTATTGTAGAGAATGGGTTACAAAATAAATTAGATGTTATTGTAGAGAATGGGTTACAAGATGAATTAGATGTTATTGTAGAGTATGGGATACAAGAGACATTAGATATTATTGTAGAGAATGGGATACAAGATAAATTAGATGTTATTGTAGAGAATAGGACACAAGAGACATTAGATGTTATTGTAGAGGATGGGATACAAGATAAATTAGATGTTATTGTAGAGAATGGGATATAAGATAAATTATATGTTATTGTAGAGGATGGGATACAAGATAAATTAGATATTATTGTAGAGAATGGGATACAAGATAAATTAGATGTTATTGTAGAGGATGGGATACAAGATAAATTAGATATTATTGTAGAGAATGGGATAAAAAATAAATTAGATATTATTGTAGAGAATGGGATACAAGATAAATTAGATGTTATTGTAGAGAATGGGTTACAAGATAAATTAGATGTTATTGTAGAGCATGGGATACAAGAGACATTAGATGTTATTGTAGAGAATAGGACACAAGAGACATTAGATGTTAGTGTAGAGAATGGGATACAAAATAAATTAGATGTTATTGTAGAGAATGGGTTACAAGAGACATTAGATATTATTGTAGAGAATGGGATACAAGATAAATTAGATGTTATTGTAGAGGATGGGATACAAGAGACATTAGATATTATTGTAGAGAATGGGATACAAGATAAATTAGATGTTATTGTAGAGAATGGGACACAAGAGACATTAGATATTATTGTAGAGAATGGGATACAAGATAAATTAGATGTTATTGTAGAGGATGGGATACAAGATAAATTAGATGTTATTGTAGAGAATGGGATATAAGATAAATTAGATGTTATTGTAGAGGATGGGATACAAGATAAATTAGATATTATTGTAGAGAATGGGATACAAGATAAATTAGATGTTATTGTAGAGAATGGGATACAAGATAAATTAGATATTATTGTAGAGAATGGGATAAAAAATAAATTAGATATTATTGTAGAGAATGGGATACAAGATAAATAAGATGTTATTGTAGAGGATAGGACACAAGAGACATTAGATGTTATTGTAGAGAATGGGTTAAAAGATAAATTAGATGTTATTGTAGAGGATGGGACACAAGAGACATTAGATATTATTGTAGAGAATGGGTCACAAGATAAATTAGATGTTTTGTAGAGAATGAGACAGAAGATAAATGAAATGTTATTGTAGAGGATGGGACACAAGAGACATTAGATATTATTGTAGAGAATGGGTCACAAGATAAATTAGATGTTTTTGTAGAGAATGAGACAAAAGATAAATGAGATGTTATTGTAGAGGATGGGACACAAGAGACATTAGATATTATTGTAGAGGATGGGACACAAGAGACATTAGATATTATTGTAGAGAATGGGTCACAAGATAAATGAGATGTTATTGAAGTGGATGAGACACAAGATAAATGAGATATTATTGAAGTGGATGAGACACACGAGAAATGAAATGTTATTGAAGTGGATGAGACACAAGAGAAATGAGATGTTATTGTAGAGGATGAGACACAAGACAAGGGATCTGGAAGAAGGGTTCTTCTGGGTCTGGAGATACATTTGAACAATCTTGATCAGATATGTCTAGGTCACAGAGACATTCCATACTAGTTTGGTATCAGCTAGATATATTACCTCTGCAGTATGAAAGTAGTTTTTTATAATGAATGAAACAAAAGTAAATATAACCAGAGGTTTGGTGATTGTGCTTTTGCTGGCAACAGGCTGCTGCTTTTGCTGGATTGTAGCCTAGTTACTATGGCAACCATACTAACCTTGTGTTTGGTCTGCTTGTGACTGAGCCTTTCTTCCTCCAAATAGAGGGCAAGGTCAGTGATCTGTTGCTGAAGTTGCTCCATCAGTTTGTCTCTGGGAAAGATGCAACAGCCTCAGAAATAGACAGGGATGCAACAGTCTCAGAAACAGACAAGGATGCAACAGTCTCAGAAACAGACAGGGATGCAACAGTGTCAGAAACAGACAGGGATGCAAAAGTGTCAAAGACAGGGATGCAACAGTCTCAGAAATAGACAGGGATGCAACAGTGTCAGAAACAGACAAGGATGCAACAGCCTCAGAAATAGACAAGGATGCAACACTCTCAGAAACAGACAGGGATGCAACAGTCTCAGAAACAGACAAGGATGCAACAGTCTCAGAAACAGACAGGGATGCAACAGTCTCAGAAACAGACAGGGATGCAACAGTCTCAGAAACAGACAGGGATGCAACAGTCTCAGAAACAGACAGGGATGCAACAGTGTCAAAGACAGGGATGCAACAGTCTCAGAAACAGACAGGGATGCAACAGTCTCAGAAACAGACAAGAATGCAACAGTCTCAGAAACAGACAAGGATGCAACAGTCTCAGAAACAGACAGGGATGCAACAGTCTCAGAAACAGACAGGGATGCAACAGTCTCAGAAACAGACAAGGATGCAACAGTCTCAGAAACAGACAAGGATGCAACAGTCTCAGAAACAGACAGGGATGCAACAGTCTCAGAAACAGACAAGGATGCAACAGTCTCAGAAACAGACAGTGATGCAACAGTCTCAGAAACAGACAAGGATGCAACAGTCTCAGAAACAGACAGGGATGCAACAGTCTCAGAAACATATAGGGATGCAACAGTCTCAGAAACATATAGGGATGCAACAGTCTCAGAAACATATAGGGATGCAACAGTCTCAGAAACAGACAGGGATGCAACAGTCTCAGGTTACTGTGACACACTTCCAGGAAACTAAACATCTCAGGTAAGTTGGTTATTGTGACAAATTTCAAAGAAACCACACATCTCAGGTAAGTTGGTTACTGTGACACACTTCCATAAAATCAAACCTCTCAGGTGAGATGGTTTTTTTGACACACTTTAAAGAACCAAACATCTCAGGTTAGTTAGTTATTGTGACACACTTTAAAGAACAAAACATCTCAGGTTACTGTGACACACTTTAAAGAACAAAACATCTCAGGTTACTGTGACACACTTTAAAGAAACCAAACATCTCAGGTTACTGTGACACACTTTAAAGAACAAAACATCTCAGGTTACTGTGACACACTTTAAAGAACAAAACATCTCAGGTTACTGTGACACACTTTAAAGAACCAAACATCTCAGGTTACTGTGACACACTTCCAAGAAACGAAACATCTCAGGTTACTGTGACACACTTTAAAGAAACCAAACATCTCAGGTTACTGTGACACACTTCCAAGAAACAAAACATCTCAGGTTACTGTGACACACTTCCAAGAAACAAAACATCTCAGGTTACTGTGACACACTTCCAAGAAACAAAACATCTCAGGTTACTGTGACACACTTCCAAGAAACCAAACATCTCAGGTTACTGTGACACACTTTAAAGAACAAAACATCTCAGGTTACTGTGACACACTTTAAAGAACCAAACATCTCAGGTTACTGTGACACACTTCCAAGAAACCAAACATCTCAGGTTACTGTGACACACTTCCAAGAAACGAAACATCTCAGGTTACTGTGACACACTTCCAAGAAACAAAACATCTCAGGTTACTGTGACACACTTCCAAGAAACGAAACATCTCAGGTTACTGTGACACACTTCCAAGAAACAAAACATCTCAGGTTACTGTGACACACTTCCAAGAAACGAAACATCTCAGGTTACTGTGACACACTTCCAAGAAACAAAACATCTCAGGTTACTGTGACACACTTCCAAGAAACAAAACATCTCAGGTTACTGTGACACACTTCCAAGAAACAAAACATCTCAGGTTACTGTGACACACCTCCAAGAAACAAAACATCTCAGGTTACTGTGACACACTTCCAAGAAACAAAACATCTCAGGTTACTGTGACACACTTCCAAGAAACAAAACATCTCAGGTGAGTTGATTATTGTGACACCAACAGCCTTAGTATTAGACAACAATAAAAAATGAAAATGTAGGAAATATTTACCTGGTATCATCTGTGTGTATCTTTCTCCTGAGAGAGATAGTGAAGACATTTGTTAGTAAAAGATCACATTTTCATCATTTACATTGTGCTCAACCATTGAATTTTCTCAAGCACTAGTTGTCTTTGTTAATTATTTCATTTTCTCAAGCATTAGTTGTCTTTGTTAATTATTCCATTGCGTGATAGATTTGTGTGTTCAAGTAAGAGCTGTCTGGCTTTGAAGGAAATTGATATTTTGGACAGAAACTGTCCACACTCATTACCACCCCAGAACATGAAACTCTGTCACTAGCAGGCAAGTTTTCTGCTCACTCATTCTATTCCAAGAAGCTGTTACTAAACTCATTCAGTTATCCAGGACAGTTACATGAGTTATAAACAATGGACAATGCATTCCTTTGTTGTGGAAAGTGTTGAGTAGTCTCTTTGGGGGTTTGGAGAGTTTAAATATTATCAGTAAGAGCCACAGTCACAGTGAAAGTGAGATGAAGGTCAAATCAATGAATGTAACTACCGGGTGGGTCACAGGGGGTTCAGGAATGTAGATCATGTCAGCTGAAACCTACAAACCTCCTGTGATAAACTGCCTGGTACTGAATGAGTTGAAGTAGCAGTCAGAGCAAAAATATTTGCTTATTGGCAAACACTCTGCCTCTCATGTCTTTTAGCTCTCACCCCCTCTCCCACTCACCCTCCCACTCCACCTCTCTCTCACCCCCTTTCACTCTCCCTCTCTCACCCCCTTTCACTCTCCCTCTCTCACCCCCTTTCACTCTCACTCTCTCACCCCATTTCACTCTCACTCTCTCACCCCCTTTCACTCTCCCTCTCTCACCCCATTTCACTATCCCTCTCTCACCCCCTTTCACTCTCCCTCTCTCCCCCCCTTTCACTCTCCCTCTCTCACCCCCTTTCACTCTCACTCTCTCACCCCCTTTCACTCTCCCTCTCTCACCCCCTTTCACTCTCCCTCTCTCACCCCCTTTCACTCTCCCTCTCTCACCCCCTTTCACTCTCCCTCTCTCACCCCCTTTCACTCTCCCTCTCTCACCCCCTTTCACTCTCCCTCTCTCACCCCCTTTCACTCTCCCTCTCTCACCCCCTTTCACTCTCCCTCTCTCACCCCCTTTCACTCTCCCTCTCTCACCCCCTTTCACTCTCCCTCTCTCACCCCCTTTCACTCTCCCTCTCTCACCCCCTTTTTCACTCTCACTCTCTCACCCCCTTTCACTCTCACTCTCTCACCCCCTTTCACTCTCCCTCTCTCACCCCCTTTCACTCTCCCTCTCTCACCCCCTTTCACTCTCCCTCTCTCACCCCCTTTCACTCTCACTCTCACCCCATTTCACTCTCACTCTCTCACCCCCTTTCACTCTCACTCTCTCACCCCCTTTCACTCTCACTCTCTCACCCCCTTTCACTCTCACTCTCTCACCCCCTTCTACTCTCACTCTCTCACCCCCTTTCACTCACTGTGTGTGACAGTTTGCAAAACTTTCCTAAAGCTCATTCATCACTGACAGGAATAGACATGAAAGGGTTGCATGTACGCATGTAGTCACAAGTCACCTGGAACTCTCCTGTGCTGAAGTCTCAAAGAACTCATCTTTGAGAGTGACATGGCTACTGGTTTTAGTTTTTGACAAGATGTACCCCTGACCGAGCAGCAGTTGTGTCACCGGAACCTGTAGAGCAACATTTAACAGTGTATGACAAGATATACCCCTGGGTGACTTGCAGTTGTGTCACCGGTGCTGGTAGAGCAACATTCAACAGTGTAAGACAAGATATACCCCTGGGTGAGCTACAGTTGCATCACCATCACTGGTAGAGCAACATTCAACAGTGTAAGACAAGATATACCCCTGAGTGAGTTAGTTGCATCACCATCACTGGTAGAGCAACATTCAACAGTGTAAGACAAGATATACCCCTGGGTGAGCTACAGTTGCATCACCATCACTGGTAGAGCAACATTCAACAGTGTATGACAAGATATACCCCTGAGTGAGCTACAGTTGCAGATCACATACTGCAACAATTCCTACACACAACAGTGTATGACATACTGCAACAAGTCCCACATAAAACAGTGTATGACATACTGCAACAATTTCCACATACAACAGTGTATTACAGATGCAACAATTTTCACATACAACAGTGTATGACAAACTGTAACAATTTTCACATACAACAGTGTATGACACACTGCAACAATTTTCACATACAACAGTGTATGACATACTGCAACAATTTTCACATACAACAGTGTATGACATACTGCAACAAGTCCCACATAGAACAGTGTATGACATACTGCAACAATTTCCACATACAACAGTGTATTACAGACTGCAACAATTTTCACATGCAACAGTGTATGACATACTGCAACAATTCCCAAATACAACAGTGTATGACATACTGCAACAAGTCCCACATACAACAGTGTATGCCATATACTATATGGTGCACAAACCTGGACAATAAACAAAAATCACATATTCAAACTAAGACAGAAACTTAGACAATAAACAAACAATTATAACATCAAACTAAGACACAAAAACCTGGACAGAAAACAAATAATTAGAAAGTCAAACTTAGACACATAAACCAGTATGATAAACAAACAAATAGAAAGTCAAATAAAGACACAGAAACCTGGACAATTAACAGAAAATTAAAACTTCAAACTAAGACACAGAAACCTAGACAATAAACTAACAATTAGAAAGTCAAACTGAGACACAGAAAGCTTTACAATAAACAAACAATTAGGAGTTGACAGCTGGTAAACACTAATAAGAAGAAAAGACAAAGAAATTATCATACATAATATTTCATCTACAGCCAAAGAGGTGTCCAGACATTCTCCAGGGCCTCTTTTCTCAACACAAGGCCCCCACACAAGTTATCATTCTTGAAGTTGGATATAACTGTCTTTTATTCATTTTCTACTGGCAGTTGTTGTTTGTTTGACTGTCTGTGAAACCACTGCCTCACTTGTCGTCCTCATGTATACCGCTTCTGCTGGGCTGATGTTGCTCTAAAGCTCTGCTACACACCTAATGACATGCATGCTCACTGTATGAATACAACATGAAATGCTTCACTGAACACAAATTCGTCTGAAAGGATTTTACTGACATTGGAACTCTTCTGCCATGAAGGTGGTTTAGACCGTTTCAAGGGGAGATGACTTCTTAGTTTGTATTGTTGTGTTGATTCAAGTTCCAGTTGTCGAACTCTGTCACACCTGACAAACAAGCGAGTGCTTATATCAGCTATCAAAACATAGATAGAATGGTAAGTCTATACACAAATATTCAGGTAAAATACAGGGTAGTTAACCTTCAGTTCTGCAATCTCTAACTGACAATTAACTTGCTCTCTCTCTCTCTCTCTTTCTCTCTCTCTCTCTCTCTCTTTATGGCCCTACACACCCTGAATATATCTTTTATGACTTGTTAAAACATTACAATGATTAGCTAAAGAAAAACAAACCACTAACATAACATTTTATAGAAGAAAACTAACACTCTACTATAATATTTAATTAAGGATAAAAGAATACTCAAACACTCCAGCACAATGTTTAATTCAGGAAAAAACCAACAGTCTATCTTGACGTCCTTTTTAGGATGCAATTTTTCGTTGTTTAAAGCCCTACTCTGGCTCATGCCATACTCTAATGTCATGTTTAGCTGAGGGGAAAAATACTCTAATGTCATGTTTAGCTAAGGGGAAAAATACTCTAATGTCATGTTTAGCCGAGGGGAAACAAATATTCGTACATAATGCTTAGCTGAGGAAAACACACTCTAACATATTGTTTAGCCGAGGGGAAACAAATATTCGTACATAATGTTTAGCTGAGGAAAACACACTCTAACATATTGTTTAGCCGAGGGGAAACAAATATTCTTACATAATGCTTAGCTGAGGAAAACACACTCTAACATATTGTTTAGCCGAGGGGAAACAAATATTCGTACATAATGCTTAGCTGAGGAAAACACACTCTAACATATTGTTTAGCCGAGGGGAAACAAATATTCGTACATAATGCTTAGCTGAGGAAAACACACTCTAACATATTGTTTAGCCGAGGGGAAACAAATATTCTTACATAATGCTTAGCTGAGGAAAACACACTCTAACATATTGTTTAGCCGAGGGGAAACAAATATTTGTACATAATGCTTAGCTGAGGAAAACACACTCTAACATATTGTTTAGCCGAGGGGAAACAAATATTTGTACATAATGCTTAGCTGAGGAAAACACACTCTAACATATTGTTTAGCCGAGGGGAAACAAATATTTGTACATAATGCTTAGTTGAGGAAAACACACTGTAACATATTGTTTAGTTGAGGGGAAAAATACTCTCATGTTTACCTGAGGGGAAACAAATATTCTTACATAATGCTTAGCTGAGGAAAACACACTCTAACATATTGTTTAGCCGAGGGGAAACAAATATTTGTACAGAATGCTTAGTTGAGGAAAACACACTGTAACATATTGTTTAGTTGAGGGGAAAAATACTCTAATGTCATGTTTACCTGAGTGGAAACAAATATTCGTACATAATGCTTAGTTGAGGAAAACACACTGTAACATATTGTTTAGTTGAGGGGAAAAATACTCTAATGTCATGTTTACCTGAGGGGAAACAAATATTCGTACATAATGCTTAGTTGAGGAAAACACACTCTAACATATTGTTTAGCTGAGGGGAAACAAATATTTGTACATAATGCTTAGTTGAGGAAAACACACTGTAACATATTGTTTAGTTGAGGGGAAAAATACTCTAATGTCATGTTTACCTGAGGGGAAACAAATATTCGTACATAATGCTTAGTTGAGGAAAAAACATTCTAACATATTCTTTAGCTGGGGAACAAGCTCTAACATGAAAGATTGCATAAACTATTCTTCATTTTGTAAAATACTGCCTTTGCTTGAGCTATCAACATTAAAATTCCTTAATATGTCTTTCATCTGATGTTATCAGGGTAGCCAGGTACTTAAACATATTAGCTAGCTGAAGAAACTAAAATCTCTAACACAATGTTTAGCTGAAGTTACTAAAATCTCTAACACAATGTTTAGCTGAAGAAACTAAAATCTCTAACACAATGTTTAGCTGAAGAAACTAAAATCTCTAACAAAATGTTTAGCTGAAGAAACTAAAATCTCTAACACAATGTTTAGCTGAAGTTACTAAAATCTCTAACACAATGTTTAGCTGAAGTTACTAAAATCTCTAACACAATGTTTAGCTGAAGAAACTAAAATCTCTAACACAATGTTTAGCTGAAGAAACTAAAATCTCTAACACAATGTTTAGCTGAAGTTACTAAAATCTCTAACACAATGTTTAGCTGAAGAAACTAAAATCTCTAACACAATGTTTAGCTGAAGAAACTAAAATCTCTAACAAAATGTTTAGCTGAAGAAACTAAAATCTCTAACACAATGTTTAGCTGAAGAAACTAAAATCTCTAACAAAATGTTTAGCTGAAGAAACTAAAATCTCTAACACAATGTTTAGCTGAAGAAACTAAAATCTCTAACACAATGTTTAGCTGAAGAAACTAAAATCTCTAACACAATGTTTAGCTGAAGAAACTAAAATCTCTAACACAGTGTTTAGCTGAAGAAACTAAAATCTCTAACAAAATGTTTAGCTGAAGAAACTAAAATCTCTAACACAATGTTTAGCTGAAGAAACTAAAATCTCTAACACAATGTTTAGCTGAAGAAACTAAAATCTCTAACACAATGTTTAGCTGAAGAAACTAAAATCGCTAACACAATGTTTAGCTGAAGAAACTAAAATCTCTAACAAAATGTTTAGCTGAAGAAACTAAAATCTCTAACACAATGTTTAGCTGAAGAAACTAAAATCTCTAACACAATGTTTAGCTGAAGAAACTAAAATCTCTAACACAATGTTTAGCTGAAGAAACTAAAATCTCTAACACAGTGTTTAGCTGAAGAAACTAAAATCTCTAACAAAATGTTTAGCTGAAGAAACTAAAATCTCTAACACAATGTTTAGCTGAAGAAACTAAAATTTCTAACACAATGTTTAGCTGAAGAAACTAAAATCTCTAACACAATGTTTAGCTGAAGAAACTAAAATCTCAAACACAATGTTTAGCTGAAGAAACCAAAATCTCAACATAATGTTTTGCTAAAGAAACTAAAATCTCTAGAACAATGTTTAGCTGAAGAGCTAAAAACTATTTATGTGGACTATTTTTTTTCAGTCAAACATTCAGACGATCAGACTACTTTATCCAACCAACAAATCCAGACACTACTGTATCCACTTAACAAATCCAGACACTCGTAACTAGTTTTTTAAGCCAAAAAATCCAGACACCATAATTACTAAATTATTCAGCTAATAAATTTAGACATTCTAACTACTTTATGCAGCCAAAAAATCCAGAAACTAGCTACTTAGTACAGACACTCTAAGTAACTTATCCAGCCAACAAATTCGGTCACTCTACAACAAGTCCAAACACTTTAACTACTTTATCCAACTAATAAATCCACACAGTCTAACTACTTTATCCAGCTTACAAGTCCAAACACTCTACTTTATGCGGGTAATAAATCCAGACACTCTAATAACTTCATCTAGCTAAACAAATCGAGACACTCTAACATTAAAGCCAGCCTACAGACAGAGACACTCTAACATCAAAGCCAGCCTACAGACAGAGACACTCTAACATTAGCCAGCCTACAGACAGAGACACTCTAACATTAAAGCCAGCCTACAGACAGAGACACTCTAACATTAAAGCCAGCCTACAGGCAGAGACACTCTAACATTAAAGCCAGCCTACAGACAGAGACTCTCTAACATTAGCCAGCCTACATACCGAGATACTCTAACATTAAAGCCAGTCTACAGACAGAGACACTCTAACATTAAAGCCAGCCTACAGACAGAGACACTCTAACATTAAAGCCAGCCTACAGACCGAGACACTCTAACATTAAAGCCAGCCGACAGACCGAGACACTCTAACATTAAAGCCAGCCGACAGACCGAGACACTCTAACATTAAAGCCAGCCTACAGACAGAGACACTCTTACATTAAATCCAGCCAAAACAGCAGATATTTCTTAAGGCATCCCTTAAACTCTTAGCGCTAACCACTAAAGCCCTAAGTCTGCGTGACCTACCCTGTGTGCCCAGATAACATGGCAGTCTGGGGTCTGCCAACTTTCCTTGAGGACTGCTGGATCGTCTGGAGGCGTGGATCCCTGGTCACTGGGGTGGATCTGGACAAACATATACTTGTGAAAACACTAAGTGTATTTTGTGGGTAGCAGCTCTAGTGCCGCCAAACTTTAGTGCACTGGGTTTAGTTAGCAACTCTAGTGCTGCGACACTCTAGAGTACTGGATATATGTGAAAAAGACCAGGTTGTAAGTGTATCAAACCTGAGAGACTTGCCAGTAGCCTCCGAGTCAGTGTCCAGTCTGGCAGCCAGCAGGTGTACACAGCCCCCGAGTCAGTGTCTAGTCTGGCAGCCAACAGGTATACATAGCCCCTGAGTCAGTGTCCAGTCTGGCAGCCAACAGGTGTACACAGCCCCTGAGTCAGTGTCCAGTCTGGCAGCCAGCAGGTGTACATAGCCCCTGAGTCAGTGTCCAGTCTGGCAGCCAACAGGTGTACACAGCCTCTGAGTCAGTGTCCAGTCTGGCAGCCAACAGGTGTACATAGCCCCCGAGTACACATATAAGATGTGTGGGGGGACATATAAGATGTGTGGGGGGACATATAAGATGTGTGGGGGACATATGAGATGTGGGGGGGGGGGCATATAAGATGTGGGGGGGGGCATATAAGATGTGTGGGAGGACATACACAATGTGTGGGGGACATATAAGATGTACACATATAAGTTGTGTGGGGGGACATATAAGATGTGTAGGGGGACATACACGATGTGTGGGGGAACATTTAAGATGTGGGGAGGACATAAAATATGTAGGGGGGGGGGGGCATATAAGATGTGTAAAAGACAAAACGTCAGCTGCTGTAAGTCCAAACAAATAATTTTTATAAATGTTAAAAACGTGGCTGTGGTCAAGGAGATTCCAGCCATGTGGTCAATGTGGGGATTCCAGACATGTGGTCAATGTGGAGATTCCAGACATGTGGTCAATGTGGAGATTCCAGACATGTGGTCAATGTGGAGATTCCAGACATGTGGTCAATGTGGAGATTCCAGACATGTGGATGTGGAGATTCCAGACATGTGGTCAATGTGGATGTGGAGATTCCAGACATGTGGATGTGGAGATTCCAGACATGTCAATGTGGATGTGGAGATTCCAGACATGTGGATGTGGAGATTCCAGACATGTCAATGTGGATGTGGTGATTCCAGACACGTCAATGTGGATGTGGAGATTCCAGACATGTGGATGTGGAGATTCCATACATGTCAATGTGGATGTGGAGATTCCAGACATGTGGATGTGGAGATTCCAGACATGTCAATGTGGATGTGATGATTCCAGACACGTCAATGTGGATGTGGAGATTCCAGACATGTGGATGTGGAGATTCCATACATGTCAATGTGGATGTGGAGATTCCAGCCATGTCAATTTGGAGATTCCAGACATGTCAATGTGGAAATTTCAGCCATGTGGATGTGGCGATTCCAGCCATGTCAATGTGGAGATTCCAGACATGTCAATGTGGATGTAGAGATTCCAGACATGTGGTCAATGTGGATGTGGAGATTCCAGACATGTGGATGTGGAGATTCCAGACATGTCAATGTGGATGTGGAGATTCCAGACATGTGGATGTGGAGATTCCAGACATGTCAATGTGGATGTGGTAATTCCAGACACGTCAATGTGGATGTGGAGATTCCAGACACATGGATGTGGATGTGGAGATTCCATACATGTCAATGTGGATGTGGAGATTCCAGCCATGTCAATTTTGAGATTCCAGACATGTCAATGTGGAAATTTCAGCCATGTGGATGTGGCGATTCCAGCCATGTCAATGTGGAGATTCCAGACATGTCAATGTGGATGTAGAGATTCCAGACATGTGGATGTGGAGATTCCAGACATGTCAATGTGGATGTGGAGATTCCAGACATGTCAATGTGGATGTGGAGATTCCAGACATGTCAATGTGGATGTGGAGATTCCAGACATGTGGATATGGAGATTCCAGACATGTCAATGTGGAGATTCCAGACATGTGGTCAATGTGGAGATTCCAGCCATGTGGATGTGGAGATTTCAGCTATGTCAATGTGGAGATTCCAGACATGTCGTTGTGGAGATTCCAGACATGTGGATGTGGAGATTCCAGACATGTGGATGTGGAGATTCCAGACATGTGGATGTGGAGATTCCAGACATGTGGATGTGGAGATTTCAGACATGTCAATGTGGAGATTCCAGACATGTCAATGTGGAGATTCCAGACATGTGGATGTGGGGATTCCAGACATGTGGATGTGGAGATTCCAGACATGTCAATGTGGATGTGGAGATTCCAGACATGTCAATGTGGATGTGGAGATTCCAGACATGTGGATGTAGAGATTCCAGACATGTCAATGTGGAGATTCCAGACATGTCAATGTGGAGATTCCAGACATGTCAATGTGGAGATTCCAGACATGTGGATGTGGAGATTCCAGACATGTGGATGTGGAGATTCCAGACATGTGGATGTGGAGATTCCAGACATGTGGATGTTGAGATTCCAGCCATGTGGATGTGGAGATTCCAGACATGTCAATGTGGAGATTCCAGCCAGGTCAATGTGGAGATTCCATACATGTGGATGTGGAGATTCCAGACATGTGGTCAATGTGGAGATTCCAGACATGTGGTCAATGTGGAGATTCCAGACATGTGGTCAATGTGGAGATTCCAATCATGTGGATGTGGAGAATTCCAGACATCTGGATGTGGAGATTCCAGCCATGTCAATGTGGAGATTCCAGACATGTGGTCAATGTGGAGCTTCCAAAAATGTGGTCAATGTGGAGATTCCAACCATGTCAATGTGGAGATTCCAGACATGTCAATGTGGATGTGGAGATTCCAGACATGTGGATGTGGAGATTCCAGACATGTGGTCAATGTGGAGATTCCAGACATTTGGATGTGGAGATTCCAGACATGTCAATGTGGATGTGGAGATTCCAGACATGTCAATGTGGATGTGGAGATTCCAGACATGTCAATGTGGATGTGGAGATTCCAGACATGTCAATGCGGAGATTCCAGACATGTGGTCAAGGAAATTTCAGACATGTTGTTAAGGAGATTCAAGACATGTAGTCAATGAGATTCAAGACATGTGGTCAAGGAGATTCCAGACATGTAGTCAATGAGATTCAAGACATGTGGTCAAGGAGATTCCAGACATGTGGTCAAGGAGATTCCAGACATGTCAATGTGGATGTGGAGATTCCAGACATGTGGATGTGGAGATTCCAGCCATGTGAATGTGGAGATTCCAGACATGTCAATGTGGAGACTCCAGACATGTGGATGTTGAGATTCCAGACATGTGGATGTGGAGATTCCAGCCATGTCAATGTGGAGATTCCAGACATGTGGTCAATGTGGAGATTCCAGACATGTGGATGTGGAGATTCCAGACATGTCAATGTGGAGATTGCAGACATGTCAATGTGGAGATTCCAGCCATGTGGATGTGGAGATTCCAGACATGTGGATGTGGAGATTCCATACATGTCGATGTGGAGATTCCAGACATGTGGATGTGGAGATTCCAGATATGTGGATGTGGAGACTGCAGACATGTGGATGTGGAGATTCCAGATATGTGGATGTGGAGATTCCAGACATGTGGATGTGGAGATTCCAGATATGTGGATGTGGAGACTGCAGACATATGGATGTGGAGATTCCAGACATATGGATGTGGAGATTCCAGACATATGGATGTGGAAATTCCAGATATGTGGATGTGGAGACTGCTGACATATGGATGTGGACACTTAAAGTATATCTAGAAGCAGATTTAAGGAAACTATGACTAACAGCCTGTAGACACTTACTTTGGTCGATGTCCCCATGGCACACTCCTGGGATCCTTAACATCTAGTGGACTCACACATCTAGCATGGACTGGGTCCCTGACATCTAGTGCACTCACAGACCTGGGATCCCTGACATCTAGTGCACTCACAGACCTGGGGTCCTTGGAGTCTTGCGCACTCACAGACCTGGGGTCCTTGGAGTCTTGCGCACTCACAGACCTGGCTTGGCTGGAGACCCTGACATCTAGTGCACTCACAGATCTAGCATATGATAGTGTATTCAATGACTTTGAGTGGCAGGCAGAAGCCCATGGTGCTCTGATCGAACTGAGGTCTCCGGCTGCAAGGCCACCCAGCATTGTTACTGAAATGACACAAAGCACAAATAAAACAAAATACAGTAGAAACGATGCAACTAGAGTGCAAATGATGTAAACAGAAGTGACACAAAAAAGGTAGATATATCACGTTTGGAGTAGAATGACACAAACAGAGTGCAATTGACACAGAGTAGAAATAGCACAAATAGAGCAGAATTAAAATAAATAGAGTAGATTGGCACATGCTGAGTAAAAGTGACACAGATAGAGTAGGAATGGCACATGCTGAGTAAAAGTGACACAGACAGAGTAGGAATGGCACATGCTGAGTAAAAGTGACACAGACAGAGTAGGAATGGCACATGCTGAGTAAAAGTGACACAGACAGAGTAGGAATGGCACATGCTGAGTAAAAGTGACACAGACAGAGTAGGAATGGCACATGTTGAGTAAAAGTGACACAGACAGAGTAGGAATGGCACCTGCTGAGTAAAAGTGACACAGACAGAGTAGGAATGGCACATGTTGAGTAAAAGTGACACAGATAGAGTAGGAATGGCACATGCTGAGTAAAAGTGACACAGATAGAGTAGGAATGGCACATGCTGAGTAAAAGTGACACAGATAGAGTAGGAATGGCACATGCTGAGTAAAAGTGACACAGATAGAGTAGGAATGGCACATGCTGAGTAAAAGTGACACAGATAGAGTAGGAATGGCACATGCTGAGTAAAAGTGACACAGATAGAGTAGGAATGGCACATGCTGAGTAAAAGTGACACAGATAGAGTAGGAATGGCACATGCTGAGTAAAAGTGACACAGATAGAGTAGGAATGGCACATGCTGAGTAAAAGTGACACAGATAGAGTAGGAATGGCACATGCTGAGTAAAAGTGATACAGATAGAGTAGGAATGGCACATGCTGAGTAAAAGTGACACAGACAGAGTAGGAATGGCACATAAATAATGTCCAGAAGATGAATGTTTGTGTACTGGCTACAACTTCTCTACATGGAAGAAGTTTTGTGTGCTCCCACTTTCTCTGGCAAGGCAACATCTGTATTTGCTACAACAGTTCTATATGGAAGAAGTCTTGTGTGCTCCCACTTTCTCTGGCAAGGCACATCTGTACTTGCTACAACTGTTCTATATGGAAGAAGTCTTGTGTGCTCCCACTTTCTCTGGCAAGGCACATCTATACTTGCTACAACTGTTCTATATGGAAGAAGTCTTGTGTGCTCCCACTTTCTCTGGCAAGGCACATCTATACTTGCTACAACTTCTCTATATGGAAGAAGTCTTGTGTGCTCCCACTTTCTCTGGCAAGGCACATCTGTTCTTGCTAAAACTTCTCTATATGGAAGAAGTCTTGTGAGCTCCCACTTTCTTTGGCAAGGCACATCTGTACTTGCTACAACTTCTCTACATGGAAGAAGTTTTGTGTGCTCCCACTTTCTCTGGCAAGGCACATCTGTACTTGCTACAACTGTTCTATATGGAAGAAGTCTTGTGTGCTCCCACTTTCTCTGGCAAGGCACATCTATACTTGCTACAACTGTTCTATATGGAAGAAGTCTTGTGTGCTCCCACTTTCTCTGGCAAGGCACATCTATACTTGCTACAACTTCTCTATATGGAAGAAGTCTTGTGTGCTCCCACTTTCTCTGGCAAGGCACATCTGTTCTTGCTAAAACTTCTCTATATGGAAGAAGTCTTGTGTGCTCCCACTTTCTTTGGCAAGGCACATCTGTACTTGCTACAACTTCTCTACATGGAAGAAGTTTTGTGGGCTCCCACTTTCTCTGGCAAGGCACATCTGTACTTGCTACAACTGTTCTACATGGAAGAAGTCTTGTGTGCTCCCACTTTCTCTGGCAAGGCACATCTGTACTTGCTACAACTTCTCTACATGGAAGAAGTTTTGTGTGCTCCCACTTTCTCTGGCAAGGCACATCTGTACTTGCTACAACTTCTGTACATGGAAGAAGTTTTGTGGGCTCCCACTTTCTCTGGCAAGGCACATCTGTATTTGCTACAACTTTTGTACATGAAAGAAGTTTTGTGGGCTCCCACTTTCTCTGGCAAGGCACATCTGTACTTGCTACAACTTCTGTACATGGAAGAAGTCTTGTGTGCTCTCACTGTCTCTGGAAAGGCACATCTGTACTTGCTACAACTTCTGTACATGGAAGAAGTCTTGTGTGCTCCCACTTTCTCTGGCAAGGCACATGGTTTTCTGCTTCTTCACTTCCTCTTTTACCACTGCAGGTGTTACAGAAGGTATAAGGTTTTGCTTCTTGTTCTCCTGACCATCTATCTCTTTTACAGAAATATAGTGTTCTTGTAGAGTTTCTCTGATGTCATCTTTCCATATTGTTCCTGGTCTATCTCATGCTCTACGTCCTTTTCCTCTTTTGGTGTACGTTTCATATGGTATGGAATCACAGGGCATGCCTTCCAAGTGGGTGAACTACGTTTTGTGCTGTCTCCATAAAAAATGTTGTGTTGGTTCTGTGCTGTCTCCATAATAAATGTAGTGTTGGTTCTGTGCTGTCTCCATAAAAAATGTTGTGTTGGTTCTGTGCTGTCTCCATAATAAATGTTGTGTTGGTTCTGTGCTGTCTCCATAATAAATGTAGTGTTGGTTCTGTGCTGTCTCCATAATAAATGTTGTGTTGGTTCTGTGCTGTCTCCATAATAAATGTTGTGTTGGTTCTGTGCTGTCTCCATAATAAATGTTGTGTTGGTTCTGTGCTGTCTCCATAATAAATGTTGTGTTGGTTCTGTGCTGACTCCATAATAAATGTATTGTTGGTTCTGTGCTGTCTCCATAATAAATGTATTGTTGGTTCTGTGCTGACTCCATAATAAATGTAGTCTTGGTTCTGTGCTGTCTCCATAATAAATGTAGTGTTGGTTCTGTGCTGTCTCCATAATAAATGTTGTGTTGGTTCTGTGCTGTCTCCATAATAAATGTAGTGTTGGTTCTGTGCTGTCTCCATAATAAATGTAGTGTTGGTTCTGTGCTGTCTCCATAATAAATGTAGTGTTGGTTCTGTGCTGACTCCATAATAAATGTAGTGTTGGTTCTGTGCTGTCTCCATAATAAATGTATTGTTGGTTCTGTGCTGTCTCCATAATAAATGTAGTGTTGGTTCTGTGCTGTCTCCATAATAAATGTAGTGTTGGTTCTGTGCTGTCTCCATAATAAATGTAGTGTTGGTTCTGTGCTGTCTCCATAATAAATGTAGTGTTGGTTCTGGGCTTTCTCCATAATAAATGTAGTGTTGGTTCTGTGCTGTCTCCATAATAAATGTATTGTTGGTTCTGTGCTGTCTCCATAATAAATGTAGTGTTGGTTCTGTGCTGTCTCCATAATAAATGTAGTGTTGGTTCTGTGCTGTCTCCATAATAAATGTAGTGTTGGTTCTGTGCTGTCTCCATAATAAATGTAGTGTTGGTTCTGTGCTGTCTCCATAATAAATGTAGTGTTGGTTCTGTGCTGTCTCCATAATAAATGTAGTGTTGGTTCTGTGCTGTCTCCATAATAAATGTAGTGTTGGTTCTGTGCTGACTCCATAATAAATGTAGTGTTGGTTCTGTGCTGACTCCATAATAAATATAGTGTTGGTTCTGTGCTGTCTCCATAATAATGTAGTGTTGGTTCTGTGCTGTCTCCATAATAAATGTAGTGTTGGTTCTGTGCTGTCTCCATAATAAATGTAGTGTTGGTTCTGTGCTGTCTCCATAATAAATGTAGTGTTGGTTCTGTGCTGTCTCCATAATAAATGTAGTGTTGGTTCTGTGCTGTCTCCATAATAAATGTAGTGTTGGTTCTGTGCTGTCTTGTTCTTGATTGACTTCAAGTCTGATTATTTCTTGTCTCATCACTAGTGCAGCCTTTCTCAGACCTCTCATTTCCATGGCAACTAATTTTCTCATCACTAGTGCAGCCTTTCTCAGACCTCTCATTTCCATGGCAACTAATTTTCCAATCACTAGTGCAGCCTTTCTCAGACCTCTCATTTCCATGGCAACTAATTTTCTCATCACTAGTGCAGCCTTTCTCAGACCTCTCATTTCCATGGTAACTAATTTTCTCATCACTAGTGCAGCCTTTCTCAGACCTCTCATCACTAGTGCAGCCTTTCTCAGACCTCTCATTTCCATGGTAACTAATTTTCTCATCACTAGTGCAGCCTTTCTCAGACCTCTCATTTTCATGGCAACTAATTTTCTCATCACTAGTGCAGCCTTTCTCAGACCTCTCATTTCCATGGTAACTAATTTTCTCATCACTAGTGCAGCCTTTCTCAGACCTCTCATTTCCATGGCAACTAATTTTCTCATCACTAGTGCAGCCTTTCTCAGACCTCTCATTTCCATGGCAACTAATTTTCTCATCACTAGTGCAGCCTTTCTCAGACCTCTCATTTCCATGGCAACTAATTTTCTCATCACTAGTGCAGCCTTTCTCAGACCTCTCATTTCCATGGCAACTAATTTTCTCATCAATAGTGCAGCCTTTCTCAGACCTTTCATTTCCATGGTAACTAATTTTCTCATCACTAGTGCAGCCTTTCTCACACCTCTCATTTCCATGGTAACTAATTTTCTCATCACTAGTGCAGCCTTTCTCAGACCTCTTATTTCTATGGTAACTAATTTTCTCATCACTAGTGCAGCCTTTCTCAGACCTCTCATTTCCATGGCACCTAATTTTCTCATCACTAGTGCAGCCTTTCTCAGACCTCTCATTTCCATGGCACCTAATTTTCTCATCACTAGTGCAGCCTTTCTCAGACCTCTCATTTTCATGGCAACTAATTTTCTCATCACTAGTGCAGCCTTTCTCAGACCTCTCATTTCCATGGCAACTAATTTTCTCATCACTAGTGCAGCCTTTCTCAGACCTCTCATTTCCATGGCAACTAATTTTCTCATCACTAGTGCAGCCTTTCTCAGACCTCTCATTTCCATGGCAACTAATTTTCTCATCACTAGTGCAGCCTTTCTCAGACCTCTCATTTCCATGGCAACT